GTATAAAGAAATATCATTTATGCATGTATGACTGTGAGTCTACTCACGTATATATTCGTGTAGCGAATCAGAAAATGTGGAAGTGGGGAAAGCTTAGGCTTTTGCCCTTAATTATGCACACTGTACCATTAGAGATTTTTTTCAGGCCTGTGTCTTCCTTCTGTTTCTGATAGGTGGACCATGATTTCGAGATCCAACTTATAACTTGGTAGAGGGATTTGTTCGTTAGGAAGTGAACAGTTAGAAATCAGCTTAGATTGCCGCAGTACTCTAGCTTATCACATGAATTCTCTAGTTAATATTGGTGTTGCCATCCCAAAACGAAACAAAACAGGCAGTTTAAATTTCGCACTGCATACATAAAGTGAGGAAAATATCTTAAAGACTGTTCTTATTGGCTTACTTCGCTCCATGGTCAGTTCATTTTACAACAGCAAAGCCGGACTGGTTGCAGCGTCCGCATGCGACTCATTACTTATTAACTTGGGCCAACGTGTTTTTTACGGTTCGACGGACAGTGATGGGGAGAAAGGAGGAGGAGGGAGGGGGTGGGAAACACGTCGAGTTTTCAGCTAACTTCATGTAATTCATGAAGCTAGATGAAAACTTTAACTTTCGTCCTAATAATTTTAACAGGACAGTTGCAGAAAATGTTCACTTTTGTGAAAACAACCATCATTGTTGCGTGGTTTGTGCGGCAAGCACAAGCAGCTCCCCTTCTCGATTCCGGCCTTTTTAAATCTGAATCGAATGAAGCTCAGGTATAGTTACTGAATTTTAAAATTCAGCTGTAAATAAGAGCGGTATTGGAAAATACTGAAAATGGCGGCAATTTTTACGCGTTTTTGCAGTGCAGCGCTAGAGCGTTGCAACAGGCGGCAAAAGGCACATTATGGCGACCTTGTCTGTATGTGTATGTTTGTGTGTGTGCGTGTGTGTGATTGTCTGTCCGCGTGTTTACACTCAGCAGCCACGCAAGCTTTGAAGCTCAAATTTTGCCTGTGTGTTCCTTGGCCAGGTGAAACGCCAGGAGCATGATATCAAATGTTGCGCATTTCAACGTCTCACGTACGGACACGTGGAACTTTTGACGGGAGATTTGGTAACTCGGGAGCGAGAAAAGCTAGAAAGCTGAGACTTTAGGGAAATGTTCCCTACGCATGTACGACCAAAAGATTTCAAATTCAGCTTCTTAGAACCGTCCGGGTTCACGTCAGACACGTGAAATTTTTGATGGGAAAATTATTAACTCCAGAATAAGAGAAGCTGAAAGGCTAGGATTTCAAGGGAATGTTCCCCCACTCATGTGCGACTAAAAGATTTCAGATTCGACTCTTCCAGTGGGCCTTTTTCGCGCACCAGCAACCTGTTGGGTCAATGAAGCCGCCATCTGCAATTGATATGCCACATAACTGTACAATTAACTTCCCGAACTTCAAGGACTAGTATGTTGTAATTTCCAGCTGCTGCGATTCCTTGCGATCTTGCTACAGCATGAAATAGTACAAAAACGCATGATCGCACCGCTCCGTTTGGTACATTCCAGCTAGGGTTTCTGTAGCACAGAACATTTTTAGCACGTAACAAGCACACCTTGCGCATCGCCGCTAATATTCATTTTTCTTCATTCAGGGATGCTACGTCACAGTTCCTAAATTCCATGTTAGATGTTCCAAAGTTCGGCCTCTAGAGCGATGAACAAAGATTAATTTGGCACAAAAGTGCAGAAGATCACTAAGAAGTGGAATAGAAAGTGAGTTGGAACGAAGTGTCAGGAAAGCCCATATAGAGCAAAAACAGAACAACTTAAGTAAAACAGCGCAAAAGGAGTATTCTGTTTATATTATAGTCTGTTTTTTGTTGGGAAAGAGAAATAATGAGATTTTTGAGGGTTGTTTTATTTGTTGTTTACCTTTAGTTTTTATAATATATAATTTCTTTTTTTGATTTGGTTCTGTTATTTAATATGAGTGTTTTTTGTGGATTGTTATATAAACATAATTCTTTTAAGCAAAATGTTTTTAATTCTGTTAATCATAAATCTACTGGTACTAATTACATCTATTGGTACTAGTCTGATTCCATTTAAAACCATTTTTAACTTGTTACACGCTATTTAGTTGTCCTCCACTGCCCAAAATTTTGTGTAGCAACTGGATTTTAAAATTATTTTTTTTTTCTATAGTTGTTTGACTGCGATAAAGGACGTTGACAGATAAAAACAAAAAGCTTTTAAGTGCGCAAAGAACAGCGTGTAATGTAGCAAAGAACTCATATTGCTATTTAATAATTAGTTGCTAAAATAACCCGAATGCTATTTTGCATTTTGAGTGACATATTTTTGCCCTAGAAAAAAGAGCAGCCCGATGTGATGCTCAGAACGGCTGCGCTTTCTTAAACATATTACATCGTTTTCAGCTCCTTCTTCCCAACCCGGTTTGCTTATATTGGGCTCTAGAATTTATTCAGTAATTTTGGATTTTTTAAATTTTTCGGCTTTAAGGTTTTCCATGAGCTGCATCGATAAGTGTGTCCCGTTTGTTGAATTTTGAAAATCCAGCTGCTATACAAAATTTAGGGCTGTGAAGGACAACTAAATGGCGCGTAACAAGTAAAAAATGGTTTTAAGTGGAATTGAACTTTTGAATATACTTCCAGTTTCCATGTCGAATTTGTGAAGACGAGCGGCTGAAAGATCAAGGTGATATAGATGAAGTCAACCATGAAACTCTATTCGAGTATGACAAAACAATGGTATGTCCAAATTTTGGCTCAGTAAGCGCTTGTGTTTTTCCCCAGATTTCGCGTGGAGTTTGCAAACCAAATTTTCTCGATTGTTGGACAAAATTTCTCATTGAACTATTGTATTTTATCGTTTCTTTATTATTGCAGGGGACTGGGAATCTGGATGAAATTGAAAATGAAGTGCTGCTCATTAATGTATCAGCTTGGCTTCAGGAACCGACTGATGCCAAAAACTTGAAACAAGAAGTTGAGCAGGTAACTCTGCAGAGCGCTGTAAACAGTTTTCTTTCTTACGTATTTATACGGGCTTTTTGGCCGCCTCCTCTTGTACTCAGATGCAGTGTCACAGCTTATAATAACAGCAAACATCACTTTGCCCTATTCAGGCTTCATCTTCCCGGACTAAATCACTGGATGTACGCATGCCAGTTTTAACCGAAAAGCAAATTGCGATGCATACCAGGAATTAATCGCGGACTTTCGGTGTTTTTGTGGCTTTCGGCGGTTTCGCGCAGTAGACGTTTGCTGCTGATACTGAGTTTGAAATTTCATATTTGCTTCATTTGAGCTTTTGCTGCTTGTGATGTCTGAAGCTACTTGCGTGGATGTTGCGTTTAAGGGGCCAAAATTTAGACGTAGAGGACTGTAAAAACTGGTTTTACACTACTGTCGGAAATATGCTCCCAAAATATGAGCTTTATGGTCAGGAGGCCAAGGACAACAAGCACATACTTACAGAGAGTGTCTCATTAATAAGCGTTTTTGCACTTGCATAAATGCAAAATATGCCCAAAAAGTAACACGCATTGTTTGTCGGTCCATCAAATGTTGTCAGGATGTCGAATTCGCTGTGCTTCAGCAGCGTAATCAATCAGTGATCAAAATCCTCTCTGTATTCGTTCTCTATGAGAGGCGGGAACACTCGGAGGTAGCTCGAGGGTAGCTAGTGCCAACATCTGCTAACATGGCTCGCGGTGGCTCCTTCTTTCAGTAACCACTTAGAAGCAGGCTGATGGTCTTGTAATCCCAGGCACTGGCGCACCCAAAGGGGAAGGAGGGTGAGGGATCTTTGCCCCCCCCCCCCCCCCCCCCCCCCCCCCCCCCCCCCCCCCCCC